ATGTGTCCACAAAGATCTGTTGATAGATTGAAGACTCGAAAAAGCTGTTATTGACAGACAAGGACAAGTATAATGAAACGGGATCATCACACTTTGATCTCAATGGAAAATCGAGAAGGAGGAAAAATTAAAAGGTGCTTAAAAAAAGTTTCTCATAATCGAGCATTAAATGACGTAACGTAAGCATTTCTGCCATAACGGGTTATCTTGAAGCCAAATGGTCCATCTGACCCCAGCATAAGACCTTTGATTGAAGATATGAAGACCAAGATGGTGTGGCCGCAGTCTCTTTTTGTTGTACAGAAACGCATCTTGTCCTGAGTCCATTGTATGCGTAATTATTTATTATTATTATCATCATTATTTCCCAAGTGGGACCGTGGAAGTGGTAGATTCCCAGACGTTTCGCCGGCATCGTCAGTGAGTTATGTCGATTATGATGTCGGCGAAACGTCTGGGAATGTACCATTTCCACGGTCCCACTTGGTAAATAATAATAATAATAATAATAAATAATTAAGCATACAATGGACTCAGGACAAGATGCGTTTCTACAAGTCTTCCTACCAACATGACCAAGTTGCGAAAACAAGGTGAAGCAACTTCTATAAGACCTCTGATTCTCGTAAAAACCGAAAGCCGTTAGCAAATCATACGTACCCCTTCAAGGAAAGGATTCGACTCGCCGAATAGGCAGTAGGCCAATGTAGCCATGGCCCAACAGTCAGCACGTGCATAATCCATCCCCGACAGTTGAACAGGCTCTGTGAGGCCTGCATGCGGAACAGATGACGCGTCGTTCAGTTGACTGTGCGATTTTTCCGTGAAAGAAACACCCGCAGCCATGTTAGCATCTGAAGCCCGGCCCAGACCAAACTTTCTCGATTCAAAAGCGCATTTCGGCTGCTGGGCGCGAAATTGATAGTCACATTCGAAGTGATCATCCAGAAAGTCTGGTAGCAACTTTGTGGCCATTTCAGGCGCGAGAAGAAGAGTGTTGCCACGGTGATGAAGAAGACCATTAGGACCTCCGAACGAGGCCCATGCTGGCTGGACTGTACTGGTGAACCCAGTGAGACAATCGAGTGAAGATGGGTTGGAACTGGACTCAGAGTTGGGCCCTAGCGAGGCAAATGTGGCTGCAAAGAGTAGGGCGCTAGGCACCTGACCTGGAGGCCTTGTTGAGATTGCACAGCTGAAGTCCGAGATGGCTGCATGAAAGGTCCCATTGGAGCGCTCGAATTCTTCGGCTGGAAATCAAAGTTGGTCGACACAATAAGTACGGGGATACTAAGAAATATATACATTATTATGTTTGTCTAAAGTTTTTTAAGTAAAATATACAAATAATATACTAAAATCGAATTTATTACGGCTTTGCTTCAATCATCCAGTATATGCAAGTCATCTTGCACAAATAACCCATTGACATTTCCATTGAATGATTCTCATTCTCATTAATCATCGAGTATAAAGCAAGAAGAACAGCTTTTGTAAATACTCAAAATATTATAATTAGTTACTGGGGTTCCAAATTATTGTTTAATTCAAAAAAAGTCAGAATAAGGGATCTTTCTGCATCCGGACTTTTTCAAT